AGAGAGAGAGAGAGAGAGAGAGAGATGAGAGAGAAACGTCAATCAGTTGCCTTCTGCACATGACTTCACCAGGGGTCAGATCAAAACCTTTTGGTGTACAGGATGATGCCCCAACCAACTGAACTTTCTGGCCAGGGAGTTTTCTTTTCTTTCTTTCTTTTTTTTTTTCATAATCCCTTCACCTTTTTCACCCAGCCCACCTCCCCTCTGACAACTGTCAGTCTGTTCTCTGTATCTATGACTCTGTTTTTATTTTGTTCCCCAACTTGTTTTATTCATTAGATTCCACATATAAGTGAAATATGGTACTTGTCTTCCTTTGACTGGTTTATTTCACTTAGCTTAATACTGGTACTCTCCAGGTTCATCCATGCTGTTGCAAAAGGTAAGATTTCTTTTTTACAGCTAAGGAGTACTCCATTGTGTAAATGTGCCACAGCTTTTTTTTATCCACCCGTCTACTAATGGGCACTTGGGCTGCTTCCAAATCTTGGCTATTGTAAATAATGCTGCAATGAACATAGGGGTGCATATATTCTTTTGAATTAGTGTTTCGGGTTTCTTTGGATATATTCCCAGAAGTGGAATCGCTGGGTCATATGGCAGTTTAATTTTTAATTTTTTGAGGTAACTCCATACTGCTTTCCCCAGTAGCTGCACCAGTCTGCATTCCCACCAATTGTACATGAGGGTTCCTTTTTCTCCACATCCTCCCCAACTGTTGTTGTTTGTTGATTTATTGATGATAGCCATTCTGACAGGTGTGACATTAACTTCTAACATAAGACTTTATACTTCTCATCCTAGAGACTTTCCTAAGAACTTTACCACCTTAAGCCCCAAGTTTCTAAAATTTCTGAAGCTATGAAAATTTTAATCATTTTCTGACCAACCTCAGCACTTTACAATTACCTCTTCACTGTGCTTTCTGATATGGTTACTTTTTGTATAATACTGTTAATTTTCTTCATCCAGCCCATGTGATCATCTCCGAGTTCTTTCACTTGTAGACCCATCTGTGTATTCCAGTGGTTTAGCTGGAAAAATATGTTCTCCTGACTCCTGCAAAAATATGATTATAATCAGTTTTAAGGTAAAAACAATGGGAAACATCTCACATGGTCCGAACCCTCTTCTTTTAAAGGGTAAGTTGGTTTGCTTATTCATTTTCTGTCACCAAAATAGGCCCCAGAGGCAGTTAGGCCTCAAGAAAGAAGTTTGGGAATGTATTTGATACCCATTATAACAGATCTTTTCAAGAATGGAGAAAATAAAGCCTATTTTTATATTTAGTAAAAACAATAGATATCTTTTTAATTTCCCTGTATAGAGTGAATGTTAAGTATTGATTTCAGGATAGTGGTGGCAGCTCAGCGGGATGGAGAGGTATACAATAGGGAAAGGGTCTACAAAGGCCTAACAATATATTTTAATGATAATTAGAATACTTTTCATATCTAGAAAATTACCTGAGAGTGATATGGCTCTACCTATATCCTTAGAAATGTCTTTATTCTGCATTCTTGCTGAACGTGTAGGTAGTTACTTGTGCACATGAGTGCTTCATGGTTTAATTCAAGTATGTATTTTAAATCTCCAAAGCTTTCCCTAAGTTCTCTGCTAAATTTCATTTTCCCCTCCACAAAACATATTACACATTTCCTTTTGCTTATGTCGAAGCTTACAGTTTAGGGATGTTCTCTGAAAACTGCGAAGATGTGGAGAGTTGAGGGTCCTCACATTGAGCATCATGTGTTTCTTGCTCATCCTGTTTACTCTGCAGGTCCTGGTCACTCTCAGCCTCCAGCTCCAACATATCCTGATAGTGATCATGAAAGTAGCAAAGCAGAACAGAAGGGTTATCACAACAGGTGGTGGTCCCTCTAGCCTACCCAGGCCCCTTCTCTGGGGGCAAGCACATACTAGTAGCCTTCTCTGAGGCCGGAGCCTTCTAATGCATTTGTAAGACATGCTCTCCTGCTCCGTTGACAGAGGAAGGCTGGGGCAGGGACATGTAGAACCTCGGTGTCCACATACACAGCTCTTTTCAGTGCTGATGAGTAATAGAATTCCATTTTTCCACGGACTCTAGCACTGCACTCAAATAAGAGGACTGGTCTCTTAAAAAAAAAAAGTCAGTGTCAAGGAAAAGAAAAAGGGGGTGGGACTGTTCTATATTAAGAGAGTCTAAAGAGATATAACAACCAAATGCATTGCATAGATCTTGTTTGGATACTGGTTTTAAAAAAAATACAGCCACAAAAGACATTTGGATGTTAATTAGAGAATTGGAATATTTAGAGAATTGAGACTATTAGATTACTGTGTAGAATTATTGCTAATTTTTCTAAGTGATAATGACATTTTGCTTGTATAGAAGAAAGTGTTTTTAGTGATGCTATCTGAAATAAACAGAGATGAAGTGTCATGCTTTGACCTACTTTTAAATGGCTCAAAATATTCCATCTATTTACATATATAAAGATAAAGCAAATGTGACAAATGGCAACAATTTTAAAATATAAGCATGAGAATATGAGAAATCAATATATATATTTTAAGTTTTTAAAAATTATTGATTAATTATAGAGAGAGAGATAGGGAGGAAAAGAGAGAGAAAGAGAAAACCACCAATTTTTTGTCCCACTTATTTATGTACTCATTGGTTGCCTCTTGTATGTGCCCTGACCAGATATCGAACCCACAACCTGGTGTATTGGGACCACACTCTAACCAACTGAGCTACCTGGCCAGGGCTAAGTTGATTTTTTGTTTGTTTTTGTTTATAATAAAGAGTTTAGAGGGAAAAACCTACTCTGTCAGTTTGACCTACAAAATTTATTTCTTTGTGTCTTTATTCTTTGCCTTGTTCTAGAAAAACATCGAAGGCATTTTCTGGTCTTTCAAGTCTGTGCACGCACACAACTGACAATGATTTCTCTCTGAACATTTCTTATCTTTAGTGACTACACTGTAACATGTTTCTCCTTCCCTTTGAAAAGGATTGGTCTGAAATTCTTGTGCTTCAGCAAAACTATTTTCAGACTGAAAGGAGAAAAGGTTAGAGTGGAGATCAATCTTTTATTGAAATCTTTGTATAAATTACTGGCCAAGTCAGTAGAATAACTAGCATTCACATAACTCTTTACAAATTTCTTTCGTGTGTGTTATTTCTTTTAATTCTCATGATGGACTTTAGGGTGATAAAGGAAGGTATTGAAATCCCCTCGCCTGTTCACATTTAGTGATTTGCCCAAGGTCATATGGTGTAGTGGGCTAAGCAGTCACCTCAAAAAGTTATGTCTACGGTCTTAAGACCCTGTCATGTGACCTTATTTGGTAAAAGAGTCTTTGCAAATGTAAGTTAAGGATCTTGGGATGAGATCCTTCTTAATTACCTGGGTGGGCTCTAAATTCAATGATGAGTGTCCTAATGAGAGACAGAAGAGAGAACACAAACACAACTGAGACGATCACGTGAAAACAGGCATCCACAAGCCAAGGAGTGCCTGGAGCCACCCAACACTGGGAAAGTCAGGGAAGAGTTCTCCCCTAGAGCCTTCCCAGGGGGCGTGGCTCTGCGACCCCTTGGTTTCGGAATTCTGGCCTCCAGAACTCTGAGAGAATACTTTTTTAAAAAAAATATGTTTTATTGATTTTTTACAGAGGGGAAGGGAGAGGGATAGAGAGTTAGAAACATTGATGAGAGAGAAACATCGACCAGCTGCCTCCTGCACACCCCCTACTGGGGATGTGCCTGCAACCAAGGTACATGCCCTTGACCAGAATCGAACCCGGGACCCTTCAATCCTCAGGCTGATGCTCTATCCACTGAGCCAAACTGGTTAGGGTGAGAGAATACTTTTATAATACATTGCTTATTGTGGTCATTTGTTACAGCAAACATGGAAAACAATACATATGGCTAGTAAGTGTATGGACCAGAACTTGAATTTGTTTTTCTGATTCCAAGACCATGGCTCTTCTCATCATATCCAGGCCTTGAGTTCAGATTAAGAAATACCTAGTCCCTATCACTGTCACTTTCACAACCCACTGGCACCACATCAGTGATACGACGATCATTATCACATTTATAGATGAAGAAACCATGGCTAGATTTCCCAAGTATTGTATGACTTAACTATATTTAACTACCTCTTCGTGGAAAAAAGGCATCTACAATTTCAATTTCTTCCTATCAAATCTTTATTTTTTAAATCCTCACCTGAGTATAAATTTTTATTGATTTAGGGAGAGAAAGAGAGAGGGAGAGAACAATCAATTGGGTTGCCTCCTGTATGTGCCCCAACCTGGGATTGAACCCACAACCTAGGTACTTGCCTTGACTGGGAATCAAACCTGCCACCGTTTGGTATGTGAGAGGATGGCTCCAACCAAATGAGCCACCCGGCCAGGCTCACTAATCCGTTTGATTAGATAGTCAAAAGCAGCAGATACACTGACATGTAGAGAAAGATTGGGAATTGGAGGATCTTAATTCTAAGCCTTGTTTTACTGCCGTGGATGCTGAACCATCCACCTAACCCCCTAAAGCTGTTTTCTGTTCTAGAATAAGAAAATTGGACGGGATCATGTCTAGAGTTCTATGTCCGATAATCTATGACGATATTTCTTGCTTTTAGTAATCAATCCACTAGAATGGTTAATGTACCACAAAAGGGTCAAAGGGCAGAAAATATGAATAAAAGATATTTTTTAATCTGCAGGATTGAACACATAAAGAATTATATGTTTTAATAACAAACTAAAAGTGTGCTTGTATGAGATACATGTCCCAGGGCACTATTTTCTATTTATGGGCAGCTCTTTGAAGAGCTCCTATGTCTCCATTTGGATGTGCCATAGGCACCTCAGTTTCAGCAAGCAAAAAACTGAACTCATCGTATTCCCCTCTACCTTGTCCAGGTTCCCCATCCTCTCATATGGGCTCCTTATCCATCCAGATGCCTCTGCCAGATGCTGGAAGAGGTCCTTGCATTTTCCTGGCAGACATCCCTTTTTCTCTTTATTATCCATGTCATACCCACTTGGTGTCCAAGCCCAAGAACACCTGTCTTTAAGTCGGTGTCCTTTCCCCCCATCTTCATGGCATCCTGCTGCCGGTCAGTGCCTTCCTTCAGTCCTCATCTGTTCTTGACTCCTAGCAGTGTCCTGGCTTCCAGCCTGCATCCTGCATTATCTCCACAGCTTAGTGTCCTGCCTACCTACTTGCCCATCATACCTTTCCTTTCCCAGAACCCTTCCTCTCTCAGAACACAATTTCTTTCTGGCCCCTCTGTCTTTGCAGGTGTAGTCCCATCTTTTTGAAATGTTTTCCCCATCCAGTTTATCCTTCAAAACTCAGTTGTCATATTCCTGGCCATCTCCCTGTACGGCCCCTGCCATGACTTTGATAGCACATCCGAGACTCCTCGCATGGATCTGTCGCACATGGCTGTTATTTCCTTGTTTGAGCCCTTCCTAGTATGAGTGCTCACTGAGGGGAAAGAGGTTCTATGTCTCCCACACTTCACAGTGCCCAGCACATAATGGATGCTCAATAAGCAGTTTTAGAATAAACAGACTCCAGAAGTAGGCAAATACATTTTGCTTGTGAGAGATGCAGACAAAAGCAGGAAAAAGGAAAGTCTGTTCACTCACCTGGCATCCAAAGTCAACACTGTGTAGAACAGTGGGAGGGATCAGGAATGTGAAACCAGAGCAAAATAGTATTCATTTCTAAATATTGGGGGGGGTGTACTTTGATGGTTAGATAGGGCAGCTTTGGCAGTTTGACTAAAGTCGATTTTATTAATTAAACCAACAATTGTGTGTGTGTGTGTGTGTGTGTGTGTGTGTGTTTTAACTTCTATTAACTCTGTTCATTTTCTGAACCTGTCCTTTAAATCTTATGATCTTCCCTTATAAAAACAAAAAAGTGTCAGTTTATGCCAAGTATAGACCTTCTGGTTTGCTTTCAGAGAATAAGAGAAAAATGTTTCTTTCTCAAGTAGTCATAGATTTGTCCTATTATCAGCAGAGAGGCTAATTTATAAATACAAAGTGTTAATTATGTAACTGCATGTGATTTATTTATGCAATTGTAGATTTTTCCATGTAAATAAATTAATAGGAAGAATACAATCATAACAATTTAAACACATTTTGCTAAACCTTGTGCCCTGACTTGAAATTTGTAAGGAATAGCCTGAGAGTGTGGACTATTCGATAAACTCGTACACAGGGAATAATGTTATTCTCTAATTAGACTTATTCTGTCCTGGGTCAACAAGTGATGTCACAGTTCACTGACTAACAGCACTCAGGAGAGCACGTGAAGGCAGGAGAGATGTGGTGGCAAAGCGGGTCTAATGGTAGCAGCCTTTTCCTGGAATCCAGGCACTAGATGCCCACAAAGAATCAGATGAAACTATTGGTAAAGTGATCGCTTCAATTCATGTTTCCCAAGATCATAGACAGCCCCCCCCCCCAACACACACACCTCAATTTCCCTATAGCCAATATGCCTGGGGAATCTATGGAAATATTGTTCAACAATAATAGAGGGGGCCTCGGCCTTTGCTTTGATCTAAATGGTAGTGAAAGCATAACCTCTTTCCAGGACAAGCTCAGGCTTTGTCTTAATTCCCCCCACTCCTTGTCAGCTGGGTGACTGAATTTCAAAGACTGAGCAGGGTTTAGACTGAATTAAGAGTAATTAGATATTTCTGACGCCTTCTGTTGGAAGACAACCTGTGAGCAGGGGGGATTTTACATGTGGTAATCTGCACGAAGGTGAAAAATGTCACAAATCCCAGGGACAAGAGTAACAAGTGCTGCACAGTTTTCTGCAGACGGCTAGCACGCCTCCGCAGTGCTCACAGCAGCCCTCAGAGGAGACAAAGCCTCCCTCCTGGTTGCAAGCTCTGGAGGTCTTGCACCGATGTACCACAAGGAAACCCTCGGAGATTGCCTTTCGGCTTGGAGATAAGAAGTTCCTCTCTTCCCCACCGTGACATTGAAGTCTCTCCCTTACCTGTTTTTTAGTAGCTGCCTCTTGAAGGGAGTCAGTTTGAGGATTTTCAAAGAAAATGTTGTCCTCATCATCTGATCTGTCCAAGATGTGATCCATTTCGGTAAATTTCCTTAGCAAACTGCAAGGCACGCAATCAACACAGATGCTGTGATTATGCCTTCGGTCTACAGCTTAGGCTTGCCCTAAATACTGTTAGAGGGAGAACACTGTGATCTCTCCAGGCCCCAAGGAGCACCTGCTGTCCTTGTACTGATTCCATTCTGCCTGAAGGCTGTCTAGCTCGGTAGATTGCACACGATGGGGAGAGAGAGGCCGGGTAACTATTTGTTGACTGACTCAATACATGATTTAACAGTGAGGGTCCAAATTCCAAAGCCATCGTGGCTGTGTAGCTCTGTGTGCACTCACATGCAAACATGTAAATAAACAAATAAAAAATAAATGTCCACTTTAGAAACTAGAGTCTAAAAGTGTCTTATGGTTCAAAAGACCATTCAGAAAGGAGTAGGTCTACGATATCATCTTGATCTCTAGCCCCCAGATGTCCTCACCACAACATCTATTAGTTTCTTCTTTATTCTTCCACAGAGAATCTGTGCATAAATAAGCAGCTATGTTTATATGAAAACTAGAGGCCTGGTGCATGAAATTCATGCACTTGGGGGGGGGTCCCCTCAGCCTGGCCTGTACCCTCTCAAAGTCTTGGAGCCCTGGGGGGATGTCCAACTGACGGCTTAGTGGGCTTAAGCCATCAATCAGACATCCTTAGCCACGGAGGCGGGAGAGGCTCTCACCACTGCCGCTGTGCTCACCAGCCGTGAGCCTGGCTTCTGGCTGAGCAGCACTCCCCCTATGGGATCACACTGACCACCAGGGGGCAGCTCCTGCATTAAGTGTCTGCCTCCTGGTGGTCAGTGCACATCGTAGTGACTGGTTATTCCACCATTTGGTCATTTGCATATTAGCCTTTTATTATATAGGATATATATGCCTTTTAAAATGTAAATGAGGTGATATTATACACACTATTTCTTGTTAATAGCCTATCTTGGAGTCCATTTTATATTAGTACACTCAAAGCTGCCTCATTTTAAAAATGGATCGAACCCCCAACTCAGGGGTATATGTCCTGACCAGAATTGAATCTGCAACCTTTTGGTGTACAGGACAATGCTCCAATCAACTGAACCACTCAGCCAGGGCAACTGTTTGTTTTTATTAGTATATATTTTTGTCATGTATTAAGAAATGCATTTGTGTACTTACATGAATATTTGTGCTTCCTCTACGCTGGAAAGCATTTTAAATAGTTTATATCTTTCCCAGCCAGCGTGGCTCAGTGCTTGAGCATCGACCTATGAACCAGGTGGTCATGGTTCGATTCCCAGTCAGGGCACATGCCTGGGTTGTGGGCTTGATCCCCAGTGTGGGGCCTACAGGAGGCAGCCAGTCAATGATTCTCATTGTGGATATGTCTATCTCTCTCTCTCCCACTTCCTTCCTCTCTGAAGTCAATAACAATATATTTTTAAAAATGGTTTATATCTTTAACAAGTGAAGATAATGAAAGCGCAAAACAAAGTATTATTGTAAATTGAGACTAGAGTCTTGATGACTTCTTTTCAACTGATACTGGGCCCCTTTAATGTCTCACAGGTCCTATCACAATAAATATTCATAAGGTCAAAATTAGAATTGCAGAGAAGAATGTCAACCCCAACCCTGAACTTGGAAATCTCATCATTTGCATCCTGTTGACCCAATAAAGTCCCCAGACAGGACCCCAGAAACTGCTCTTGAGAGCTCAGTCCTGACCTACTTCTTCATTAAACCTTCACCTGCATCAATATTTTAGAGAAAGCCACTGTTTTTCTCAGTCAACTGTTGTTCCTTCCCAATTCTCCTCATCTGCAGAGATGTCTTGTCACGTAGCTGCATGGGAGCCATTTCTTCAGCATTGCAAGGACAATGATGACAACAAGAGGGCCTCCATGGCAGAATTGGCAGCTATATTCCCTCTGCTGATAGCAGGCTTGTTTCGGGGAGTTTGGCCTTAACCCCACTCTTTCCAAAACTGGCCATCAATTGGAAGGGACCCCAGAGTAAGCTTTTAGGCTTTCTCTGCTCAGCTCTATCTGGGAAGGTCTTGTCTGTAGCTGTCCCTAAGGACTTCTCTGATTAACTCAAGGGTTGTCTGAGCCTGTAAATGTATATTTTGAATCCTGGAATGGAAATATTAGTGAGCAATACAAAATAGCCAGGCTAGGGAGGTGGGAACCTTTATTTGTATGACCTCTTTCTGATTATATATAGGGTATCCCCCAAAATGTATACATACACTTGGAATAATTATAAAGGCAGTGTCTATTAAAATAAACACTTCATTTTTAAAATTGAGCTATCAGCTATTAAAGTATTACTTTTTGGGGGGACGCCCCATATATGCACATTATAAAAAAATAGAAAATGGCAAAAGAAAATAAAAATCACTGGTACTCCAGGGATAAGCAGAGATACCCCAGAGGTATACAAACAAAAGCACTGTTAATATTTTGGTATATGTATTTCCATTTTTAAATGTGATGGGTTTTTTAATTCTTTTACTATTATTGACCATTAGATTTTTTCTATTTTTTTTTACTATTATAAATAATACAGTAATGAATTTCCTTATTTAGTCATTTCCAGGGCATCTCTATAATTTACTTAGGGTACTTCCCTGGAAGTGGAAATACTGGGAATACGATATATACATTTTTAAAGACTTAGAAAAATATTCCCAAATTACTTTTCTAAAGATTCGACCAATGTACACCATCTGCAGATGGTGGTCTGAGAACAGGAACCTTCACTCCAGCCTGACAGGCAAGGGTAGCTGGAGAGCAGAGAGGGGATCTTAGGGTACGTTGGGAGCAAGAAAAACAAAGGTGAAAGGAAATGGGAGAGAAGGGAGAGAAGATAGAGAGGCATGAGACGAGTTCTAAGATGCTCAGAAGAAGAGCTATAATAGTGGTTCTCAACCTTCTGGCCCTTTAAATACAGTTCCTCATGTTGTGACCCAACCATAAAATTATTTTCGTTGCTACTTCATAACTGTAATGTTACTACTGTTATGAATCTTAATGTAAATATCTGATATGCAGGATGGTCTTAGGCGACCCCTGTGAAAGGGTCGTTTGACCGCCAAAGGGGTCGCGACCCACAGGTTGAGAACCGCTCAGCTATAAGAAAGAATATGAAACGTAACTCCCAGTAATTGACAGAAAGCAGGAGGATTGTACCCAGCACTAAACAGGAAGCAAACTTCCCCTCTGTGTACTCCAATGAGTGACAACAGCAACATGGCCTAGAATTGGAGGGTAGCCTGGCACCTAGGGTCCTGAAGGACAGAGGAGACTGTGGAGTGATGGGGAGGGAAGTGATATCATGCAGGAATTTCCCTGGAAAGGCGATTTACAGCTGGGATTAGGAACAGGAGGAGGAAGGAAAATGGCACGGGGAACCTAAGGGATGTTGAAACCAAGGGCTGGTCTTTCACTCTGTGGCAAAATTGAGCTTTGTCCTTAATCCATGTGGGGATCTCCAGTGGCTGCAATTCAAAGGGGTCCCCCGTGAAGGAGAAGCAGCGGGAAAAGGCTCCATCCTCCTTAACTTGGAGTATGACAAAGAAGAATAAACCTTTGGTCTCATTCAGGAAGGCCACTGAGACCCACCCAGTTTCATCCCAGCTCCTATCTGGACAGTTGCATCTGTTTCCTGAAGGTGTTAAGCATTACGAAGTCAATTCCAAGCTCTGAAAGATGAATGACCACTGAGATCTTTCCTGTTCAAAAATTAGAATACTGTACAAATAATATTATTTCCTGATTTTGGTAACTCTCTGACATCCTTGTAGCATTTATTGGGCGATTTAAAAGAAGATATGGTTCTCTCAATCCAGCTACCTACACAAATTCTGCCTCCATACATTTTCTCATGTTTCAAGTACCACTTAGAATCCTAATGATGACTTGTGTTTGTGCAGCTCCTAAGATTACAAAGTGCTTTTCACATGTTTTCTTGTTCAGTTCCCACCACAACACAGTGAGGAAGGTATGTGTGCAGTAACTGAGGCTCTGGTGGGTGGTGTGATTTGCTAAGAGTCGTATAGCTGGTGAACTAGCAAAGTCAGGACTCAGAAATGCCAGGTCCTTACAGCTACTTGCAAGAGATTTCGCCCCCACCCTCAGTGATGACTTAGACCAGGGCTCTGCAGTGAAACTTCCTGGGATGGTGGAAATGTTCTCTGTGTTGTTCAATACAGCAGGCACTAGCCAGTGTGTCTACTGAACATTTGAGATGTGGTTCATGCCACTGAGTGACTTAATTTTTAATTTAAATCTAAACAGCCACCCTATTGGACAGGTCAGAATTTTCTAGACCAGGAATCAGCAAACGGTAGCCCACAGGCCAAATCCATCCTGCCACCTGTTCCTGTAAATAACATTTTATTGGAACATAGCCACGCCCATTCCTTTATGTATTGTCAATGGCTGCATTTGTGACAGGGCTGAGTAATTGCAAAAGACCTACACGTGGCATGCAAAGCCTAAAATATTTAACATCTCGACCTTTGCAGAAAGAGTTGGCCAACTCCTATTCTAAGCCATCACCTTCTTCTGTGATGCTGGGTGTTTGTTACAATGAGTCAACTGAAAGTAGTGAATAAGAGTTTGAATTTTGGAGAGTCAGGCTGAGTTCCCATCACAACCCTTAGCGCCTAAGCATAATCTTAATGCTCCAAGTCTTATTTCCAACACCTGTAAAATGTGGCTAACATTGTACTACTAATGTTATTAAAGTTGTGAAGAGTAAACCAAACAATTCTTGCTGTGCTTAACACAGTGTCAGATGGATGCAAACACTTGTCAATGTTAAAAATAAAATAAAACCAGTAGAAAGGGGAGCTATCACTAAGGTTTATTTAGCTTAAGTAATATAATACTACTAGTAGTAGTAATAATAATACACGCACAGCTCTTTCAGTTTATAAAGCATTTTCACTCAGTTGTTCCATTTAATCCTCACATCTACCCTGTGGTCAAGCAACCCAGACAGATCTTATTACTTCCATTTTTTTTTACATGAGGAAACCAAGACTCAGAGAGGATCCACGATTTGCCTAAAATGTTATTGCTCAAAAATGGTAGGATCAGGATTTA